CTGTCTTACTAAGAGAGTCTTAGACTCAGAAATTTTCCATCGAGAGATGATTGATTGTTTCAGACCAGATGACCACCCCAACCAATGGTCTTATGATTTGAAGGTGACCTTCCATGTTACCTAAGTCTATAAATAGATCGCCCACAGGTGTCTCGAGGCAGTCTTTGGTCAGACGTCGTTGAAGAGAGATAAGCCCTGTGTGTTGCCGTGCAGTATTAAGTTGTATAAGTAGCATATTAATATATTACTTGTGATTAAGTAATTCTTTATGCTTATAGCAGTGTTATGTATACAGTGGTGATTTTTCTGAAGTGTTAAAAGCTGTGATAGTGTATCATACTATTTATTCCCACGAATTGTAAGTTGGGTTTTGATCATTCTGTATATCCATTTTATTCTTGTATAAATCTAGTGTTCTGCCACGACTTTGTACACTCATTACAAGTTATATGCAGATTAAATGTTTTGTTGGCATCATTAGTTTCTCTAGTGTTTCCCCTAGACATCTATATCGAGTCCTAGCGAGCTAGTGTGTCAACTTTCTTTTATTTAGGCTTGTCGCCATCTGTGTGTAAACAGTTAAACGAATCCGGGAGCGTTCGCCATCTATCTGGCTGATAGATTGGTGTCCGTTACAAAGTGGGGACTCGCCGGCATGTAATCTGTTGTAAGAGTTGTTGGTTTAAATATTTAAACACTAGTTTCAGTTCTAGTTAGTTGTTTCTTAACCCAGTGTGGCTGTGTAAGAGCGCCGCGCTCAAGGCTAGAGTTATCTAGGTCAGGAAGCCAGACGTGTTGCGTCCTAGATTTAAGGTCAAGTTCATAGTAGAGCGTCGGGCTGTGTTAATTTAGTTCTGTTTTGATTTTGAAACTAGTTGAAATGGAGTCTTTCTTGTTAAAACCCACAGTTGAGGAAGTAGAGAAGTTAAGTAGGAAAGATTTGATTAGTGTTGTAAAGGAATTGAAGTTGGATTATTCTGTCACTCAGAAATCAGAAGTGTTGAGAGACAAAATTATAGTTCATTTTATTAATGAAGGTGTGTTCGAAGAGAGTTTGTTGGCTGAGGTGATACTCCGTGAGGAGAAACCTCTAGAAGAGAGGGAGTTTTTATTAAAAGAAAAGGAGTTGGAGGCCAAAGTTGCTTTAGATAAGAGGAGGTTGGAATTAGAATTTGGTAAAGATAGTGGTGATGTCACTTCTCTAGAAGATCCTAAAAAGTTGTCGGTGGGGCAGGTGATTGCCAAATTTGGGAAACTAGTTCCTAAGTTCAATGAAATAGATTTGGTTGTCTTCTTTAACTCATTTGAGAGTTTAGCGAAGGCATGTGAATGGCCCGAAACTTCCTTTACTGCTTTATTGAGCACAGTTCTCACAGGCAAAGCTGCAAGCACATATCAGGCACTCTCTCACGACGTTCAAACTAACTATGGGCTGGTCAAGACTGCCATTTTGAAGGCCTACGAATTGACTCCAGAGGCCTATCGGATAAAATTCCGAGCACTCCGCAAGCTACCCACTCAATCATATGTGGAATTTCTCTTTGAAAAAGAGAAAGTTTTTTCAAGGTGGCTAAACTCTGAGGAAGTTTCAGAGTTTGAGAAACTAAAATCACTTGTCCTGAGGAAGGAATTCCTAAAGTCCCTGCCTGAAGACATACGACTACACATCCTGGATAACAAGATAGTCGACATCCAGAAGGCTGCTGAGTCGGCTGACACATATACGTTGGTGCATAAGAAACCACCAGGGATGTTTTCACCTGGTATTAAGATTTTGGTTGGCTACATTTTTAGAACATTTTTTTATTTTATGCCAGATTGGTTCCTTATGTATGTTTTTGTGGAACCTATCTGCCACTTCCAAAAAGGAAGGGGATGTGACCTACTTAGGTCTAGTAATGTTTTATTTTTAGTTTGACATTTGTTATAATACCATATATGGTCTGTGGTGCAATGACCGGTTTTTTTCCGCTGTCTTACTAAGAGAGTCTTAGACTCAGAAATTTTCCATCGAGAGATGATTGATTGTTTCAGACCAGATGACCACCCCAACCAACGGTCTTATGATTTGAAGGTGACCTTCCATGTTACCTAAATCTATAAATAGATCGCCCACAGGTGTCTCGAGGCAGTCTTTGGTCAGACGTCGTTGAAGAGAGATAAGCCCTGTGTGTTGCCGTGCAGTATTAAGTTGTACGAGCCGGCCCGCGGCATAACATACGCCGCTATTTAGTTGTTTCTAATTTTCAATAATTCATAATTTGTGAATTCGACAGTACCAACGCTGACACTGAAAATATTTCTTTAAAACACTATAAGTAGCTCGTTAAGGACCATAACCCCCCCCCCCTTCCTTCCCTCTCCCCCTCCTCCCCCCCCCCCCCCTACGTTTAAAATCGTTGGCTCTGCTTGTAAACATTTAAAGTAAAAACAGCTCACTAAAAACATGTAGGGGTGGGGAGGTAGGGAGAGCGTTTGCAGCTTGTTTTCTAACGGCTCGAAGAAGAGAATTATATATATAGATAAGTAGCATATTAATATATTACTTGTGATTAAGTAATTCTTTATGCTTATAGCAGTGTTATGTATACAGTGGTGATTTTTCTGAAGTGTTAAAAGCTGTGATAGTGTATCATACTATTTATTCCCACGAATTGTAAGTTGGGTTTTGATCATTCTGTATATCCATTTTATTCTTGTATAAATCTAGTGTTCTGCCACGACTTTGTACACTCATTACAAGTTATATGCAGATTAAATGTTTTGTTGGCATCATTAGTTTCTCTAGTGTTTCCCCTAGACATCCATATCGAGTCCTAGCGAGCTAGTGTGTCAACTTTCTTTTATTTAGGCTTGTCGCCATCTGTGTGTAAACAGTTAAACGAATCCGGGAGCGTTCGCCATCTATCTGGCTGATAGATTGGTGTCCGTTACACTGATAATATTTAAATTATGTAGTCCGGCATAGTTGAGTTGGTTGCGTGGCATAATTTAACAATGCTCACATTATAAAAGTTAAAGGCTACGGGCGAGAGTGTCTTACACTCAATGCGGTTACATTAGAATGCTAAATTGCTTGAAATAATGGTTTTTAATTACTTTCATTAATAGGACTTCTACTTCATCACTCTATTGTTTAAAAAATAGAAATATTTTTATTGTTGAAAAGTGGTAAAATTAACAAAGAAAAAAAACAGTGACACGACATTACCAATGCAAACTAATCTAGACAAGAAAATGTCAAAGGAATTACATTTTTTTAAACTTTCTCGAATATTCTTATATAAAAAAACAGGGGATGGGAACTCGGGATATAGACATGAATTTTAATCCATTTTAAATAGAATAAAATCTCGCGGAAAAAAGAATTGCATAGCCTACCAAGTGAACGCCAAATAAATATGTGCATAATAGTGCGGAATAGTATTAGTACTTTAAAAATCTACATGCGTTTTTTGAGAAATTGGAAATAGCGTAAATTACTACTTCCGGTCAACGGTAATTACTCAAAATTTGAATGACGATAGAGAATTAGATCTTTTACTTACTTTTATTTATCTATCTGAAAAAGTACTCAAGTTATAGGCTTTTGAAAAATTCAAAGTAAAAAAGTACCAATTCCGGTTATCAGAAATCGCTCAAAAGTTGATACGGATCTACGATTTTGATAAAATACTTATATATGAAATTTCATCAACCTAGCTGTAACGGTACTCAAGTTATCGTGTTTACAGATGTAAGCCCTGCTAAGGGGGGATACCTAAAATCTACCCTTCTAGGCTTATCTATTACCGTCCGGTCAGTGCAAGCCCGGCTAATCCCAGACTGGTTAATAACCTAACCTTAGTCTAAACTAAAAACAAAAAAACTTTTAACAATTAATCAAATTTATTTTTACACATGGAACCAATGATAAAATCAAATAAAATAAAGAATAGATAAAAATCTACTGACACAAAACCGAACGATTTACACGCAACAAACAGAGCATAAAACAGAATCAGAGTTTCTTCCAGGCATCTCTTCGGGGGGGCGAAGCCCCCCCGAAAATTTTTTACCGCCCCCCCGAACGAAATGAAATTTATATAATTTATATAGAAAATATATACTTTTAACAGTGTCCGCCCCCCCGAAGAAAGTTTACCGCCCCCCCGAAGATTTCAAGTGCCCCCCCGGAGAAAAAAGTCTGGAAGAAACACTGAACAGAATGCAACAAAACAATGTATACACAGCGAAACACTATATATAAAACAAAAACAGACTTAATGGAACAAAACACCCAATTTCGGACTACGTCCAGGCTTACAAAGAAAAAAATGCATAAATAATAAAAGCTAGATGGACGTTCTTCTGACTAAGTAGCATCGGACGGAAAGAGGACTGTCTTCCTTACCTCATCCCATCAGCATACCAAAGTGGACAGAAAATTAAGCCGGAAATCGACTTTCACACACCTCACACACTACACGTAAACAAATAGTTCCTAATTCACAGATAACAAACCAAACGCAATGAAACATGCAACATAATTATATAAAAAGACACTTAATATAAACATTGACAACAATATAAAAGAAATATATACAAACTAGCTGTAAACAGGGACATAAACAAATAGACAGCGGCGCCATAATACGGGACTACACAACTAAAAAGTACGAACAGTTTACGACATGAAACGAAACGATACATTCGCATTCTAAGTTACAAATAATAATAATAACACATTCCAGCCGCTCACACAGACACACAGACCTACGAACAAGATTGCAAAATCATGTTTTTCCGTATCAGTGAGGTTTTTTGCACGATTACAAGACTTTCTCTATATTTCGTATATACGAGAAAGTAAAAATGAAATTAATAGAAAGTAATTATATATATATATATATATATATATATATATATATATATATATATATATATATATATATATATATATATATATATATATATATATATATATATATGTATTAAGCGTTTGTAAAATTATCCAACAGAAAGTGTGCCCAAAGACACAAGACCTTATAGGGAACGAAGACAGCATTTGCATCAGAATATCAAACTGTAGTGAGCTAAGCCTCCTGGCCTTAAAGTCTGGTCCACTGGCGCTGTCTTCAGCAAACTTAAGTGGGAAACCTGACAGTACACATCACAGTATGGTCCAAACAGCTTTTGGTAAGTCAGTCGTTTTATATATATATATATATATATATATATATATATATATATATATATATATATATATATATATATATATATATATATATATATGTATAAATATATATATATATATATATATATATATGTATATATATATATATAAACCATTCAAATCAATCACTACAATACATTTCAATGTCTTTGCTGATAATCTATACAGGCAACAAAATTGATGGTATTTTATGTATTGGCGATTCTTTGGAGTCTAAATCATCAAGTGTGGTAAACTGTCTACATTTTGACAGAGGTAAGGTTTTTACTGTTATATATATTACAATATGTGCGAGATACTACATTTTACAGATAATCGGATTGAAAAGTCTAAATAATACTACTAAAAATTTTTTTATAAATCTTAAAAAGAAATATAGCAAGCCATCAAATTATAGTTACATTTTTTAAAATTACGGCCGCTTAAGAACCATCGATTACACTTATTTTCATATTTGTTAATTGAATATGAGCTGTTGAAAACCTGTTTAGAATTATTTTATCATTCAAATATTTTTAAAAACCGCCCTCAACCCCTCCATGAAGTCAAGCAGAGTGGCCAGGGAAAGTGAAACAATGAAAATCATAACAATTATTTTCCATGATAAAAAAAAACAATAACTGTCAATGAGGTATAGCCTAGTAGTTTATTAATATTAACCAAAATAACATCTATTACCACAACACCCTGACTCCACTAATCTAAGTTAAAAATTATAGTCAAACAAATAATTACTATTATATTACTAGTAATTATTTACTATTTCTAGCCGTAATAACGGTGACCCGTCAAAAGAGCGCACGACAAAAGAGCGCCGACATAAGAGCGCAGACAAAAGAGCGCCGACATAAGAGCGCCGACATAAGAGCCCATCAATTTGCCGACAAAAGAGCGCCGACATAAGAGCGCAAACTAAAAATCGAAAAACCATATTTAATAAATAGGAACAAGAAAATTAACTCAGATCAGACGTCATCGTTTGAAGCTAACTCTTTATTGTTTCATTAAAAAACTAATTGTTCAGTTTCTTTAACTAAAAAACTGATATAATCAACATGAAGTCGAATTATTCAAAACGCAACGTAGTAACACATACAAAGATTTTAGGCCTTTGTTAGTGAGAATATAAACTGAAATGAAATGTAACAAAATGAAAATAAGTTCAGATTAATAAAATGTTTCTTTATAGTTGCATTTATAAAGCTAAGTTGTGGGCTATACCCCGTAAATACCTGATAGAAGATTACTGGTGCAACTCTGAAAGTTCCATCCACAAACCAATGTTCAGTTTGCTGTAGACGATTGATATTATCCATTGTTCCGAACATCATCATTCTGTAAACGTCAGTCGGTCCGGAATCCCACAAGACGAATTTTTGCCCTCTTGTTGTCGTTTGAAGAGGTTCAGGAATTTGTATCGATAATATATATAGAATATATATTCTATCAGGAATTGTTATCTCTGCAACGTTCTGTGGATTTGGGTATGGCAGCTGCTTGCGTTTTCTCTGTCTTTCTATTATATGTTGTGAAGCGACGTATGCCGGCAAATGAGGTGCTACTTCCATCGAAATTCCTTCTCTGGCTTGTTGTATAATCTGCCTTGGTTTTTCCACCCCTTCCACTGCCCGCTTTCGTATAGCCGAATCGATTTTCGCTGCTTCGTTTTTAGCCGGATCAGGAGCGTGATTGTGTTCCGATGATGACAGAACAACATCGTTCATCATTTTCATCCGTCCTCGGCAGCCATCTTTCTTGCAGCATCTCCATGTCGTACTTCCATCAGCATTTGCTCTGTCCTTTCGATATCTGTAGCCTTCGAACAAAATAATTACCTTCCCTTTCTGTGATTCGATCTTCTCCATGTTAATTGCGCTAGAAATATTTTCAAACTGCATTTATACCATATCAACCACAATATATAAATAAACGTTTTATCGTACCACCGATTGTTTAATGCCATATTTGATTAGCTTACAACGTGTGTTTTTATAATTGATTGCGCTCTTTTGTCGGCGCTCTTATGTCGGCGCTCTTTTGTCTGCGCTCTTATGTCTGCGCTCTTTTGTCTGCGCTCTTTTGTCTGCGCTCTTTTGTCGGCGCTCTTTTGTCTGCGCTCTTATGTCGGCGCTCTTTTGTCGTGCGCTCTTTTGACGGGGTGCCCGTAATAACAACCGTAAGTCATTTTGTACTTATTTCTCAAATGTTATAAAATATTCAAGTTTGATTGAATATATGCTTTCTGTCAACAGCCATTTGGAACCAGCAGTTCAAGCCTATTAAAGCGTAATTCGGATACTTCAAGACAATTAAAAAACAATTTATCATTTTGTTTAATTAATGTGCATATTTTTCCCATCATGTATCGTTCTTACAGATGAAATCAGTTACTTTAGAATTGGATGTACGCCTCAGGAAGTCATCTTTAGGGACTATAAAAATGCGAAAAAAGTCCTTGCAACACTACATATCATCAATCCTTCTTCTAGAGATAGAAAACCGTAAGAAATTCATAATAATTTTCTAAGTAGTTATGGGAATAAATATAATTAGCTGCGTAATTTAATATTTTCCATAATTAATGAGGGCGTAGCATATTTTTGTTTTAGAATGCTTTATTTTAATTTATTAATATTTTTTTAAATGGGATAAAGATCGAAACGAAATAACGAAAACATTGTGGCAAATCACTTATTTAAAAAATTAAAAGACCTATATAAAATATCATTCAGTAAATAAAGAAATGAAGTAGAGTTTGTCTGTCACTGCAACAATGGAATTTCTTGAAACCGTGCAGCCAATATAAAAAAACACCTAAATAAATGTTAAATTGTAGCTATCGTCTCGGTTACTCTATCTGATTGGCTTACAGGAACTGATTTACAATCAGTAGCGTACGCAGAAGAATGAGGAGCAGGTTGGGGGGGGGGGGGGGGGGCTTCTGCACACCCTAGGACCATTTAAAGGATAGTGGCGCCTTTTTCAGAGATTTCTTAATTAATTAAAATTTAAAACATTCAACTTCACACAAGATAAATAATTGTTTTCAAAAAATAAACAACAAAACAACAAACACATTACTAAATCTACGAATTTAAAACAGTCATGGTATATATCCTAAATATCATTTTTTTTAATGTGTATACATCTTCGTTTACTTCTTCGAGCCTAGCTGTTCGACGGGTACGAACGAGTCGCTTTTCGTCACAATGTCAATCCACGTTAGCCCCTGTATATCTGCGGTTTATATTAGTCAACCACCTACACATCGATCTAACTTAAAGCCTTTGCTTGAGTTGTCATGCCTAATTCAGCCATCCATGTTTTATACAGGAGGTCTATTATTTTTGGGTTTTAAGATCAGATTAGAGACGTAGGGTAATTGTTTACGTAAAGTGTTCCCCGTAGAATACGATTTTGCTCATCTTTGATATTTCAGTCCTAGCAGGAAGTATAATTGCATTTCCCCTTTTATGCCAGCGGATCGAGAATATTTTCCAAAGTCATCTTGTATAGGTGCACACTTTTTTAGGTGGATTGTGTTAAAAAAAAATCTATGAAATTGGGGGAAGGGGAATGGAAGGAAGCTGAAAAAAAAAGCAAACATATCACAACAGTACTTAAAAAACGCTAGTATGAGTCAAGATTTTCAGCATGTAAAGATGTACTTAACGAACATGCACTTAAATATATCGGGTAAATTTTATTAAAAAATAGAAAAATACTGTCGATAAAAGTAAAAATGCATCAAACGATAAATTTCCAAAATTCAGAAAAAAAAAAAAAAAAAAAAAAAAAATTATAGTAGTTATTTTTGCGATCAGAAATATAGCTTTTGAAACAGGTAAAACTCTGTAACTATTGTTTTTGCAATTACTGGTACAGAGGTGTGTGAGCACAGTGATCTAACCCATACCTTATGTTTAGGTAACATATATAATATTTAAAAACTCAAAAAGGAGTAGCTAATTCAAAAATATAATGACCCTAATGTAATGATCAACAAAGATGAAACAAATAATTTAGCTCAGAAAAAAACATGCTTAAGTAAAATATTATTCAAAAGGTTCCATCTATTCCTATTATTTGGAAAAAAAAGTGCGTTTTTATCTAATCTCTGCTTTTACAAACTTTCTTCATGCTTTTATAGTTAAGCATTTATGATAATAAAATATTTAATTATGATTGTAATCACTTATTGTTAAACGCATTGTAATATGATTTTATAATAAATACAAAATAAATGATTGATTTAGTTAAATTTGAAAATTACAACTAAATGTACAGACCTATAAATGTCTATATGAAGAGAGTAACTATTTCCTCTATTGTCATAATATTCCATTTGCCATTGTGTCAAATGGTTTTTTTATTAGGATTACGAAACAAGAATTATTGTTTTGTCTTTGGTTGTGTTTTATGTAAATTTTGTGGCGCCACTACCCATAATAAAAATAACTTGCTTACACTCTTATTACAATATATACGTATATATATATATATATATATATATATATATATATATATATATATATATATATATATATATATATATATACATTTGAATAGTCGTTTTTAGAGAATAAATAAATATTTTAAACATTATCTGTAATATTAAGTGATGACTATTAGTGGTTTTGTTTAGCTTGTGTTCCATTTCTGACAGGTCCACCGGCAGCGCCTCTCATTAGAAATATGAAGCTGATGATCTACCATATGCCATCATTTCGATAATAATATGAAATCGCAAAGACTGTCTTGAGAAAAAAAAATATTTTGTTGTTGCTTTTTTGTTTACCAACCTTACTCAACACTGCCTGCAAACTTATCTCTTTAAACATAAACTATTCTTTACTTCCAGTGTTAGCATTTAAGCTTCAGTATCCACAGTTATAACCGGGTCAAAATCCGTTTATTCACAGCTACATTTGTGCCTCGACTTCAAATAACTTCACGAGGTGAAATATCTATGCTCAATTATCGCAAAAATAAATACGTATTAAATTCTTCTGTATTGCACCAATGCATTGCAACAAGAGCCGTTCTATCACTGTCATTGTATTAATATGCCGTCAAGTCTCGAATAAAAACAATTTATGGCTCAAGGTTGTGCTACTCTAAATTAAAAAAAAAATTACCTAAAATACTCTTACACTAACAAAAAAAAAATACTTTACGAGTTACGATAAACCTAGATACAGTGAATTCAAATCAAACCCTCCAAATGTGAAATTGTTAAATTTAATCAGATTTCGAAATTGTTTTGCAATATTTATACTTAATAAAGTGATATTTATACGTATTGTCAGTAAATAAAGGGATATAACTCTTTGACCAAATAATAACCAGGTAAATCCAGACATTTTTCGCAACGATCTTTTGCTTACCACTCAGTTTTGCCTATGCACAATGCCGACATGTAGGTTCTACAACAGTTTTTTTCACTGTATCAAAAAAAAAAGTTCTTTTCCCTGCGCGACATCTCAAATATTATTTCGCCATAGGTACACCATTTCAGTAATATCAAATATTCATATTTTTGTAATAAAATACAATCGAACTAACACAAAGTCCATTTGTGTTTTGTAGATACCTTCGTAGTACATAAAATAGTCTATTATTAATTAATATTATCGTATACTCAAATAAAATGTATAATTCATGGACATGCTGTGCTAGCTATTTAAAAAAAAAGCTTTAGTTATTTCAATTTAATTATTGCACAATTATTTTAAGTTTATTACTAGTTGAGTTTCCTAATGAGTTTTAATTGAAAAGCTCCTACTCAAATATGTTAAATAACTCTGATTCCATCGTTGGTTTAACGTTTTCTTCAGTTATTTCCCTTACATAAAATAATCCTCCACCTTGGCCTAAAAAAAAAGTAAAGGTTCCCCTTTCAAACCTGACAGTCTATGGGGCAAGTGAAGTAGAGTTCACTTGTTTCTGTGACCTCGGCATTTGAAAAGATATGTGGTCAGCACTATGCCCAGCCGCCATTACTTTCCCTGACGTGAGTTAGGTACCCATCAGAGTTTGGTGGACTCAGAGACGGTCTACTGACTTGAACCCGGATTCGAACTCGAGACTTACTGGTTAGCAGTCCAGCTAGACCACTCCGCCTCATAAAACGTGGCCTAAAACGTAGAGTAAAATTTAGTCAGAGATGAATTTCGCTTTATAAATAGTTTAGTGGTTTAGTCTAAATGTAATGTAGTATTTTAAAAATTAAAATATGTTTTATCCCAATGGAATAACGATCACCTCCACGAAGACATGTGTAAAAAATTGTTTCTTTGGAATAGACAAAAAAAATTGTTTTAAATACTCTTTAAAAGATTAGTTAACATTAAGGTATCGCATGATTTTAAAATCAGGATAAAGCATTGTCCTGTAAGTATTAAACCTGTGTTTACAGACACAATGCTAGGACATGAGTCTTTAAATGTAGTCGGCAAATGTTAAGTATGATGTGAAGACAATATTGGGGTTGATTCCCATATAACTAAAAGAGACTTTTACAAGTTGTAAACTGGAAGAGATATATATTTATCAGTTAAAATAGTTTTCCAATAAGTGCATAGTTGGTGGTGTTGTAACAAATATGTAACAGAAAAACACAAAACAATGAGATATACACATTGAATGCATTCTTCATGTTGTATTTTTAAAAACTAGATACAGCAATGATAAATTCCCGGGTAATTATTAAAATACCATAAAGTATAGGATGCTTTCCTTTTAACGTGATAATTTTATATTCGAGGTTCGCGGTAGTCAATATTTTTCATAATAATAGAAGGAGTTTATGAGGTTCCCTATTTAACTATTTAAAAAAGGGAATTAAGTCATGGAAGTGGTTCGAGTGTTTGCCTATCTTTCACATTACAGCTCATGTGTATTATTTTTTGTACTCAACAGCATGTCTTAGCTACTGTATAACATCACTACTGTAGTAGATCTGTTTGTTATTTACAAAACCACTATCAAGGTGCCAGTGGCGAAACTATAAAAATAAAGCCCATCCTGTTCCCGCACCTCCCCCGGCGGAGGTCCCTAATGCAGCGAGACTGATGATTCAAGTAGTACACCTATCCCCCTGTGCAGGACACCCAATGAAGGATGTAGTAATGAATGCATAAAAGACAGACACACGGTATTCACGTGTACAGCTGTATGTGCCCAGCTCACGCGGAGGAAAACCTTCTGATTTAAGGGACATCCATAAATGACTTCATGCTTTTTTGATGACTCACAAAAGACCAGACACATCATTTATTAATTGATTAATTGATTATAAATCTCTAATTAATTCATGTACTAATAATATAAAAAATAGTCTTACCTTCCTTGTTTAATGAAATATATTCGTCAAACTAATTAATAATAGGCTATTAAATTAATATCCGCTGACTAGTGCCTGATAAAATGTGAGAAGTGGTGAATGTACAGCTAGGAAGTTCGCTAGTTGTAAGGTTAAGAGCTGGGAGGGAGGGGGTCAGAGTAAGGAACTTAAAAGGGACAACAAAACGCCGATGTGCTTCTATTCATCAGTACCGAAGTTGGGATGGTCTCAACTACTTTTGTCGTCTTAATAGCTAGCGGCCTCTGGCGCAATGGACTTTGATTTTTTTTTTCACAAGAATTTTGCCGACAACAGCGTGTGTTTGATTGTAGGAGAAAGAATACTTGGCTTTCACAGTGGTTTAAAAGCAAAGGGAAAAAGAATATACAAGAATGTGGGATGGTGTCTATAGAATAAAGATAACCAAACCGCAGCCACAGTAATCTTTTTATAAAATAACGATCAGGTCAAAAATGCAAGAAAATTGAATTTTTTTTACTATAATTTTTTTTATTATGGTCGGCTGTGAGCCCCTAAATGGCGTGGGCCCCCCTCCCCCACCCCGCGGAGTCTGGCGGCACTGTAGTTCCGCCCCTGGTCTTGTGCCATTTCACGCTAATTTAAAGTTAGTATTATAAAAAAACACGATGAAGATCAAGGAGGTTGGAACATTCTCGTACATTTTATTTATATTATGTTTAACGTAATTAAAACCTACAAACTTCATCCTTAATTATTTTTTACGTTTTACCATAGGCGCATTGAATTACATTTAATTTATCGTAAGCTGATTTGCACTTTCAGAATATTTAATACATAAAACTATTAATAAAGTCCAGGTTCTGCGCCGTTAGGTTCCGCAGTGCTGGCTGATTCTCACACTGTCAGTACGTCAACCTGCTAGGGAACTGGGGGTCCGCAACCTACTGGATGGGGTCCACGACCTACGGGATGGGGGTCCACGACCTACGGGATGGGGGTCCACGACCTACGGGATGGGGGTCCACGACCTACGGGATGGGGGTCCACGACCTACGGGATGGGGGTCCACGACCTACGGGATGGGGGTCCACGACCTACGGGATGGGGGTCCACGACCTACGGGATGGGGGTCCACGACCTACGGGATGGGGGTCCACGACCTACGGGATGGGGCTCAACTGGGGGGGGGGGGAGTTCTGACAGGGGATTATGGGTCAGTTTCCAACGTCGAAATGAAAATAAGGCCAAAATAGTTTCACGTGAATCTTTTTCGTATATATAAATATTAAGTTTTTATTCAATTAACAATACACATTAATGTATTAGACAACCTACTATTAAAGGTAATCAAATACATTTGCGTGTTCAATTAATCACAAAATGCATCTCTCCCTAATATACCGGTTACTTTCCCCGAAATACGCTTCTTGACTCATTCACGTAAACTCACTTAGTCGCACATAAAAGACGTCACCAATCTCAAGACTGGTATAAAATCAGTTTCAAACAAGAGACTACATTTAAACTTTCCGAAATGGTTAAGTAACTTTTTTTTTTTACATATTTTTGACACGAAGCTTCTAGTTTTGTAGACTGGTTAGCGTATGGTGGAGTCATAATGCCAAGTTGGGTGGGAGGAGGGGGGGCATGGTTATAGCTATTGTGATATTTCTCTTTTACCATAAATTTTTAAACTAACTAGCCTATGCCCGACACAATATTATAAATTATAGACCAATCTGTGTAAAACAGTTTGATGTAATAAATGTTTGTTCCTAGGTTATGTATATTCCTGACGATAAATTTCTAGATGCTGAAGTTTTGAAAAAAAAATGTATTGGTTAAATACTGGTTCAGTTTATCTATAGAATAAAGATCTCATACCTATGGATAATGCATCCAATATGCGACGACGTCATATAATTTGGACTGTTAGGCGTTGATTTGCACTTAACAAAGGGAGAGAAGCATATTTTAAATACTGCTCGTCGCTTGAATTTATATTTTAACATACTTTTTGCACTATTTTGCATAATATTAAAACTGCAACTGAGTTTGCTTTTTCTGTGCACTAAAAACAACTCAACATTGGAGTTTGTCACAAATATTGTTTACAACCTACCACTTTGATGAACAACAACATACAATCTTCATAATAACCAAAATGTGCAAGATACCTCAAAAAACAACAAACGCTTCATTACAGTACATATGAATAATCTCAATTTTAAAGACTACACCTAACAATTCTTAAAGTAATTTATCTTAAATTTTAAACAAGATCTTAAATCACAGTGAATTACATATACTTTATTTTATTTTTAACAAGAATGACAATTTAAAATTTAAGCTTAGATTGATGATACTGTGTTTTCCTCTCTTTATAATTCAAAACAAATGCAGCTGAATTATATAACAAATACATTAATGTGTAAATTTTATTTGAAAACCATATTATTTAGAATGTGTATTATGGACATACTTGAGTATTTTAAATATTAACGATGGTAATAATAAAAATAAAGACATTTTAATGAATAACATAAAGCTATTTAATATTGTATTGTTTTAAGAAAGTAATAAGTAAAGTATTTAGTATTAAACATTTGAGCAAATACAGGCCAATATACACAAACATTAAAATTTTCAACCATCGTCATAAGAAATTTATTTATTGAAAAATGATTATTAAAAATTTTTATTATAAAAACAATATAGTACATTTGTATAAAAATATTTAAACAATAATTCTCAGTTTGAACCATGGTCTAGATTATAATTTATTTTACATTTGGTTAGTCAAAATTACACTTTCAATTTCACTTCTAAATACATCTGTGCATTCCAGTTCATCGTGCACAATTTTGTATTTAGTTCTGCCTTTAAATGTTTCAAAGATTTGCACTAAGTTCCCTCGTCTTGTTTAGTCTCATCTTTTTTTATAGCATTGCTTGTATTATATTTGTTTCTTTGCTGAAACAGCACAAAAGGTAAATCTATATATAGATAGATATAGATGTATACATATATATGTGTGTGTGGATGTGCGGTATATGAGTATGGATGGATTGAAACAAAGAGTGAAATTTTTAAAATTGTGAAAAGAGTGGAGCGTGAAATCTTGTATTTTACAATTTATAATGTTATTACATCAATTTCTATTATTATTTATTAATTTTTAAATTCTTTTGACTTAGTAAATAAGCCTGTATTTTGATTGACATTGTTTTTAAAAATTGAAATTACAGAAGGATCTATGCTTTCTTCTTTCTTCCTTTTAAAAAAGGAAAACAAATCTGTTTTTAAATTTAGGTAGCCTATATATAATTATCTCTAAAATATATACCAATGAGTTAACAAAAACTGTATATTACATAATATATAGCAGTTGTCAAGCAGCTTAACTTATTTAATAGAGTATTACAGTGGCGTAGCCAGGGATTGGTCATGGAAGGGGTTCAAATATTTTTCCATATGTGTGAGTCCAAGGGAGGGGTTATAACCCCTTGCCTATGTCACTGGAGTATTACATTGAAGACAACACTAAGCTAAATCTTTCATAATTTTTTCTTTATTTTAACTGTTTAACCTACATAAAGCTTTTAAAGGATGAAAAAAAAAACTTAAAAAAATAATGAAAAGAATTTAGTGCATCGCTAGTTGAATTTCACCAGGTTAATTACAATTCTAAATTATTTGATATATGTTCTTCATAATTTAAGTAAAATAGAAATTTAAAATAGATAAGTGATAAGGTTTTAGGTTTTCATTTGTAACAAGCTGTAAAATACATTATTATAATTTAAATATTTCAAATATCATTCTAGAGTAAAGAGGAAACTGTCACTAAAACTCTAAACACCTTGAGTTAAATTAAGTAAACTTACCATGCTAAACAAAATTAGAAAATATCTCATCTCAGGGTTTATGTTGCTTTAGTCTCTACATCATTTAATGATATGCTTAACCAACGCAGAGAACATTTGATCTTAAAGTAAATGAAAAAACAGCAATGTTTACATAATTGTTACAATAGTAATGTTTTTTTTTAATGAATAAAAACGTAGAAAAAATAAATATACCTGCAAAGCACAGACAACAAAGAAACCAAATGATGAAGCATTAATTTCATGAGTTGATAGAGAAAACACAGCAGTAAAAAACACAACTAGGCTGCTCACTGCTTCAATCCAAACTCCAAGCCATCTAGTTAAATCAGAATACTTTTATTTAAATTTGTGTAAGCTTAATTTGATCATTTTGCTACTTTTACTATTAAAAAATTCAACTAAATCATTTTCTAATTTTCTAATTTTATTGAAAGCTTAACGTATAGTTTGCTTTTCATATAACTGAAATGTTTAAACAGGCATTTAAAAAATTGTAATTGACAATTGTTATTAAAATAATGATAATTTTACTGTCATTAAAGTTATATTATATAAGTTTATATAAGCTTCTTAAGAAAACAGCAGTACCTATTGGCTGTAATGTTGGCAAAGTAGAATACATTATTGTGGTCGATGAGCTTAGTAAATGTCTGATAAAATCTATTTTTAGCATCAAATGCCCTGATCACATGACATCCATTCAGTGTCTCAGAAAAATAAGAGAAAATTGAAAGTTTTGAGGCTGCCTCCAGTCTGTTGAGTTCTTGAGAAGCTGGCACAACAAATCTCTATAAAATAAATCTGAGATAATAGTTAGTTATTCTAGATCATTCATACTGTGTAATAGTTATTTAGTTTTAAGAAAAAAGGTAAAAAAAAAAATGCTAATATCTTACTTGAATAGCCAGATATGCAAACAGCAGTGGCACTATGGCAACAATAAACTTTGGTACAAAAATGCAGATAACAGTCAGCTTCACCATCACAGAGAACACACACAGAATCCACATTAACATTATTTGAGGAAATTTGTCATCCGGTTCATATGATTCTTTAATATTCAGATTTTTATATTGTGCTTTTGTTGAAGTGTCCGATGATTCCATGTTTTTATTTAACATTAAAGTTTGATTTGAAGATGTAGCACTTCGCCTTCTGATAGTTCCTAAGCAGACTAAAACAATCAGTACTGAAAAGAAAAGTGGCTTAATGTTAATTATGATTTTAAGATTAACATTAATTAAGTGGTTTATTTCATATCATTTCCTAAATAAAATATGATATATGCATGTTTCAAGCTACATATTACAAATATTAATTATCCAATATGTATAAAAGAAATGTTTTAAATTAATGATGGTCATACCTTGTGCAATACTAAGAACTGCATACTCTGTAAAATACCTCTGATGTTTTAGATGAACTTCAGGTGCTGATAAATTACCTGTCTGAATCTCAGAATCACCTGTCCATTGAGCTAATTTTACATCAGCCAAAAGACTTGATGCCTATAAAATGTTTAGTTATTAAAGAATATTTAACAGTTTACAAATAACTATCATCACCGTCATCTTAGAAGAAAATAATTGTATAATAAGCTGATACATCAATTTCAAAATTAGGAGTTTTTATACAGGCAACAAGAGTAAAAATATATGACCACAAATTATAATGCTATTTTTAATTTTTTGTTTAAAGTATTCAATATACTAAAGAAGTTTGAAAAGTGTTGGTCTATCATATATTTAAACAATACAAATAAAAACTGCTTACCTGAAATAGAGCGAAAAGAATACAATTGATCAGTATTCTCATGCTGCCTACATTTTTAAAACAAGTTTGAAATACTTGATGGTTAATCTGAAAATGTAAAACCTAAAAGTAGTATGGAAATATATACCTTAATGCTTGCAAAATTAAAATTTAAGTTAAGTTTCCTTTCAAACCATGGGACAAGTGAAGTAGAGTTCACCTGTTTCTGTGACCTCCGCATATGAAGGAATAGTATGGTCAGCACTAAGTTCAGCTTAACTTTCCTTAACTTAAATCAGGTACTTATCAGGGCTGAGCAAACACAGGGGCGCTCTACGGAATTTAACCCAGATTCAAACTCAAGACTTTTGGATTAGCAGTCAGATATTCTTCCATTCGATCTCATCATCACCATAAGGCAAGATATTATTCCCGTAATTGAGAATACATTTTTTGCCATTTGGTAATGAACAAGAAACTATAATTGCATTCAAATCACATACAATTACAATGTTTGTGACTTACATTTCCTAGCTTGTCATCTCCTTGCATGCCCTGGTCTTTGGCTGCTAAAGCAAAAGGGGAAAAGTGGTTGTGTCCCTTCTTAGTATCTTTAAGTTTCGCTGGTATGGAGCAGCTCCAGCATTCCATTCTTTCCAAACTTTTTAAATATACTGTATCTTATCAGTTTTAATTTTTAAAGTTTTAATCGTATTGTTATTTATATAATGTAGGAATGCATTAATGATGATTTTATAAAACAAAAAAAATTGAATAACACGCACCCATTTTGTTTGACGCTATGATTATACTCCTCTAATTTAATGTCTTTTGATTGGTTGGCTATTAGTTTTCTATGTTCCCTCATTTTCATCTTTATTTCTTTAACTAATGAAAAAAAAAAAAATTTTAATAATTAAATAAGTACTTTGGGAATTAGTACAATTTTAGTATCTAGGTATATATTATGTATATATTTATTAATTTAATTTTCATGTTACATTAAAATATTAACACCTTCTTCATCCTCTTGAATGGCAGACTTTAATTCTGGTTCCTCTGTTAGCTTGGATAGAGAAAACTTGGCAAAGTTTTCATTTTTCCTCATTAGCTCCATGTAAGAGCCCATTTCTAAAATATTTCCCTCTTGTATGTAGATGATCAAATCAACAAGAGGCAGCCATTGAACCTCACTGGTAGCCAGAATGCGTGTCTAAAATATGTTTTCAAAGAGGTTTTATTCTTTTCAGCAATGTAATTTTTTTTAATTAAACTTTTTAAAGAATTTTATAAATAATTAATATATGAAAATATATACATCTCAAAATATTACAGACCTTGCTTTTTAAAATTCCGTTACTAGAAAAAACATGTTTAAATATGTGTTTCGCATCATGGCTACTGACATCACACAAAGGGTCATCAAATAGGTAGAGATCAGCATTGGAATACAGGGCTCTGGCAACACTGATTTTTTGTTGCTGGTCTCTGCTTATATATTCACACTGAGAAAAATGTGAGCAGCATTTATCATGCATAGCCGATGGTAAATTTATACTTTGGAAATAATCTACATCATAATGAAATTGTTTCCATTAAATATTAAAAATAAAAGCTAAATTAATTTTAAATAAATATGTCTCAAAAGTAATTATATTCTGAGAGCAATTTGCAAAAAATCATGAACAGAAAAGAAAAATTAAAAACAGTGCCTAAAGTTAGCCAAGTTTAAATAGTCATTTAAACAATAATTAAAAGATAAATTACATTTTTTAATTTGTATTTGTAAAGGATCTTCTCACATAAGCTCACTTGTAGTCTTTGTATGTTCATTCATAGATCATATAATACCTTTATTTATAAACCATCATCCTACCTAAGTTAATGCTATTAAACAATATTCATTACATTAGTGTAAAAATTTCTTCATACCTGTATTTGCAAAGAATCATTGTTCATTTTCATTTTAGCATTTTCTGTATTATCCCCATTATGAAAATTATTTTCAATATCCTTTTCAAGAGTACAAGCATCAATAATCTGCAAATACTTTTCTTCATTTAAAGTTTCACCAAACAAAATATTTTCTCTTAGACAACAATTCTGAATCCATGGCACTTGAGGAACATAAGCAGATTTACCCTGAAAACAGTTTTAAAAAACACACGGTTTTGAGAAATGTGTATCAGGGGTTGTGATTTAATCATTTCATTTGTTAAATATTTTCATGGCCTAGTTTGTGAAATAATTATTATTCTATTTTGAATTTGCAGATTTCCATTAGCATTATATTTACATAATTTAGAGTATTAATAATTCTTTGTATTTACATTACCATATTTTGCAATTTAAATAACATTAATATTTTGTTTGTTTTATATTTTTATTGCTTCAATGCGTTGAATGTTGTGCTACCTGCTAACAAATTTTCATCAACATTATATTTACATAATTTAGAGTATTAATATTTCTTTGTATTTACATTACCATATTTTTCAAATTAAAATAACATTAATATTTTGTTTGTTTTATATTTTTATTGCTTCAATGCGTTGTATGTTGTGCTACCTGCTAATGAAAATGGCCAGCTATAAATGACATCACACAAGTTGAAATGGATGGTCCTGATTTCTGTGACAATGTTTGATGATGGGAGGTAGGGTTTTAGATAGTTGAACAGTTAATTTTTTTTTTTAAATTACATTAAAAACTGCATCTGGGCACTTTTTGCGTTTAAAAATTTTTTTGTAAAAAATTGCTATCAAAACAATATTGAATGGTTTTAAATACCGAGAGATAGAGTGTTAATTCCTACTTCCACCATGAAATTTCTTAAATCTAAAATAATAAACATATTTTTTTACCAGATGGTAGCTAAGGATGCTAACAGTTTGTTTTATAGCACTAGATTGTGTATTAATTATTTTAAAATAACTTGCATTACTAGTTATCTTATACTAATAATGTTTTTAAACAATCGATACAACTTCCAATTTCATTACTTTTACAAAAAATTGTTTTGGGCTATTAATTTTAAATATATCACACCATTAATGGAAAATCCTAGATTTAAGTTATCTAATTTTCTAGATTATTATAATTATTAGGATTGTATTATATGATAACTTCAATCATTCATTATTGGGCACATCTCATCATTATTACTCTGATTCAAGAATTATTTATGCATCATTTGTATTTTAGAAAATTGAAGCATTCTTCTAAATTTGAGCCATATATAACGGGAATTACCATGGCTGATTAATGAAACAATTTTAAAACAGCCGTTACTTACAGCTGTCTGAACTTGACCTTGCAGACATTCCATTTCTCCCAATATAGCAGACAGTAAAGATGTCTTCCCACAGCCTTCAGGTCCCACAACTGCCACAAGTAATCCTCTTGGAATGTCAAGGTCTATTCTAAAGCAATGATCATTAAATTAATTTTTTTTAAATATTTCATGTTGCAATAACTACAAATAAAAGCTCAATTATGGTATATAGTTAGGTTTATAAATGTTGATAGTTTTTTATTACTTAATTAGTTACCAATATAAAAAATAATTCACAAAAACTAGCAGTTCTGATATACATTTGATAATTTTTAATTTAAATAACAAAAGCACATCAGACCCAACCACCCCTTCACTCCCAGAATATAAATCATCAAAGTCTAGAGCTTCTTCTAAAAAAATTAATAACTTTATGTTATTATTTTATTAATAGCATATTAAGATTTGATATAAATTCTTCTAAAATACCCACCCACTTAATCTGAATTTTTCATTGGAGTCCCATGTAAATAATCCCTGATGTATCCTTACAGCAACATCTGCAAAGTGTAGAATGGTAATAATACATACAAGAACAAATTACATTATTCTAAACCAATTGAAAAAAATGTAGCTTTTACCTTTGCTGAAAAATTAGAATTACTATCCTGTAATTGATTCACGACTTGATTTCAAGATATAAAAGTGAAAAGTGCAGAAGCAAATGTTTACAAGTAGTTATTTTGTAATGAAACATAAGAAAGGAATTATGAAAACCTAGATAAAATGATTGGTTAAAATCAAATTTTTACAATTTTAATTTCAACTATGTTGCTTTACCATATTTAAAATGTATTATAAGTGAAGTAGTAATAATATAAGCATATTTAACCTTTCGTAACAAGCCTATTATTGAGTGACTGATCCAATTCTGGTCCACATAAATAACTTTCTATTCTGGACACTGCAGCGACCACCTATACAACCAATATTAAGATTTATTAACACTTAATTAACACTATGTAAAAGAAATATCTAATTAATGATATAAGAAGTCCTGGATAAAAGGTTAACTTAAGAAAAAATAAAATCATTACTCAAAGTTATGTAATAAAACTTATAGACCTGCATGATTCCTGAGACAAACTCTGGAAATACTTCAAAAGTAGACTGCAAGTAAGCTAATACTGCCAATGTCACAAAGGCTTTTTGTGCAGTTAAAGGCACATCCGGGTAGACTATACAATGTGTAGCAAAAGTTACAGAGCACACCTACAGAAAATAAATAACTTGGATTAGATTAAAATAATGTTTATTTTTTTTTCTGCATTACGTAATTACATTGAAAGACTTTTTATGAAATTGTACTAGAAAATACTAACCAGACAAGGTGCACAGGTTCTTGTTAAAATTCTAGCAGCTTTCACAATAGATAACTCTGTTATAGCATTCATTTGTATTTTGTACTCAACATTGAGTTCCTCAGCATTTGTTTGGGGTAGCTATATAATATATAAACAGTAAATATATTAATATGGAATATATGCATATATAATAAAACACATAAGATATATATATATATATATATAATAATAAAACATATATATATATATATATATATATATAGCATTAATTTATTTATCTATGTGGTTATCTATTTAGTTATTTATTTAGTTGTTTGTCTAGTTATACCACAGATAAAAAGTACCAAGCAAAAATAAAATTATAATTGTGATTGTTTTTTTTAATTTAATGTTTACATAGTTTTAGTTTAGAGTTTATTAAGGTTATTAACATTTTTTAGCTTTTTGTCCTTCCAAGATTCATCCTTCCTCTCCATGTACTGTTGCAGGTATTCTGTTAGCCCAGAGAAAAACACAAGTAGCAGGAACAAACCCACACCTGACAATGCAGGTAGATCAATAGTGCTCCAAAGTAAATAAGATGCCAGAAAGATCTGAAGGTTATAAAAAAAACACCATTCATTTTAACTATATCGTGTCATTATGGTATACATATTTTCTGTAATTACTTCATAACAATGCCAATTAAATGGCTTATGTAGTAATCAAATGCCAAACTTATTATATATATTTTATATTGTAATAAAGTTGTTACAAAATAACCAAATTTAGTAGTAGTAGGCTATTAATTTGAGCAGATAATATTAATATTTTTTTAATGTGCATGTTTGCAAAAACTAAATACTTTTGAGTTAAAATGGAACATTCAATGATATCACTTAAAAATTAAAATAACTAACAAAACTGCATAAAATGAAATCGACCAAAAAGAGTAAACGTTTTTTGAAAAATGACAATATACCTGAAATGGGATTGACCATACCATGGAGGAATAACTCATGAACTTCTGCACGCTCTCACAGTCAGAAAAATGTTTGACCTCACCACCATCTCTCTGGTCTTGATGTCTTGAGTTGATACTCAAGCTCTGGTTTAAAAAAAAAAAAAGAAAGAAAATTCGTACAACTTCAAATAGATCTAGATATTTTTAAAAGAAAATTGTGAATAAATTGTAAACAATCGTTTGTGAATCATCGCTATCGTGGTCGAATGATAAAACAAGCAATGGGAATGACTAAATTAAAATTACCAAACCGCCAAACACTAACAGCAGATTTCGAGTTCCTTCCAACGACTCAAGTCAAGTAGGCTACTTAGAATGATCCCGAGTGCACTTCGCCACCATGTAAAGGAGTCCAAATGCTGACTGGTAGAATGTTGACCACGAATGCCGAGATCAGAGAAATAGAAGAATTCTACACTGCTCTGCTCCATCTTCTGCATGAAATGCCTAGATCTAGCACTTTACTCTTTACTTTCCAAGTTTCCATTTAAACAAAAGCTAGACGAGTGGCCAATTTTAACAGATCTAGGCCAATATTACAAAAGACAACAGCCAAACATTATACGTGGATCAAAATCTTAAATACACGCATACTATTCATACATTTCTTATAATTTATATAAATACCTTTTTATAAACGGCCGCCATGAGAGCTGTTTTCATCCTCATCCCTGATGTCATAGCGAGGTGAAGATGTTGGTGATAGAAAATGGTTTGGCACCAAGATGCGACCAGTATGGCCAGAGAGAGAAAGTAAACATGCCAGGTTGGTTCTAGCGTCTTTTCTTCAACGTGTCGGATCAGCTCTCTATAGAAATAGATAATATAAATTGGCCTAGTATCAGGGGCGGAACTACAGTGCCACCAGACCCCGTAATACGGGGGGGGGGGGGCACGCCATTTAGGGGCCCGCAGCCGACCATAATAATTAATTTATAATTTAAAAAATCTACTTTTCTTGCATTTGTGACTTGATGGTTGTTTTGTAAAAAAGATTACCGTAGTTGCGGTTGGATTATCTTTATTCTATAGACACCACCCCACGCTCTTGTATATTCTTTTTCCCTTTGTTTTTAAACCAATGTGAAAGCCGAGTCCTCTTTCTCCTACAATCAAACTTATCAAAGATAAGTAAACGTTCAAACCACTTACGTGACTTTTTTCCCTTCTTTAAATTGTCAAATAGGGGTGCTAAACAAATTAAAAAGCAATTACTTTTCTTAATTATTAATTTTTTTTATAAAGTACTTACTAAATAATGACATTGAACAAAAAGGAAATGTATTTAAAACTAATAATATAAATACAAAAAAAACATAAAAATAATCATAATTACACGAGACACTATTACTTCTACTAAGCTTTTATGTTTTATATTCCTTTGGCCGACCAAAATGTTAAGAGGACTTATAGCAGAGATAAAATAAAACTGATTTTCACAAAACACACTAATTCACTTACACACATGACATGATGATGTAATTTGTTTTAATTGAAAAAAAACTTTTTTTTCTAAACCCGAACAGGCAATGAGTATCCTATTTTCGTATTTTACATATATAGGCATATATATATATATATATATATATATATATATATATATGGGGGTGGGGGCGTAAAAAAAATTTTGCGGGGTGGCCCTTTTTTCCAGTTCCGCCACTGCCTAGTATATTATCAAATTTTTGAACATGTCAATTCTACCTACGACATGTAAACTGTAACTAAAGTTCGATTTTGAATCTGACGGTCCATGGGACAAATGAAGCAGAGGTCATCTGTTTTTGTTACCCATGACATAGACAGAATAAAACTCTTGTTTAAAAAACCTGCCTTAAATAGCATTAAAGAAAATAGCTTAGCTGAGGCCCAGCCACATAAGCATTCTGGGGAGGGGGGAGGCAAAGCGCAAATTCGTTGGCAGCAACAGGTATGTCAGTCGTAATATAAAATACTCAAGTTGTGACAAAATTCTTCCATTTCTGAAAATTAGAGTAGAGTTCTGAGTTCGTGTCGTCAAGTGTTTTTTGCAGACATTTTTCTCCGGTTGCGTGTGTGTGTTGGGGGGGGGGGGGTGGAACACACTTGAAACTTTCGGGGGGGGGGGGGAAGGCGAACTAAATTTCCTGGTGAAACCGGGGGACGGGGGGGGGGGGGGAGCACTGGTATATATTTTCTATATAAATTCTAATTTGTTCGGGGGACGGTGGGGCGATAGAAGTGCCTTGGGGGGGGGGGGGCGGTTAGGTGGGGGGGGGGGGGGTAAAAGTTGTTGCCTTTTTTAAATTGCGATGCAATGTCAATTTGGTGCGTTAGGATTTCTGATGATTACTGATCATAGATTCTTTCAGTCTACTCTCCAGGAAGGGGTGCTTCAACCGTGACCGCACCCATTATTTATACATTTAAATATATACTTTAAACATTGTCCACCCGCCGGAAAATGTAAAATCAGCTCCCATAAACATCAAATCCCACATACCCGGAGAAAAAAAATAACACTGCTTGTGACGATAATGTGACTAACCACCTCCCGCCGCCCCTTCCCCATTCACGCACACACACATACTCACACACACTTTACCCAAGACGCAGCTAATACCCATCTATATAGTTCCACTCCAACTTACCTGAACAACAACAGTCCAGTAAATTTTAATATGTCCGAGAAAACTTCACAGAGGTAAGAGAAGAAAACTTCCCAGCCGAAGCCTTTGACCAACACTTGAAACAGCAAACAATCCAACTTTGTAGATTCAACCACCTTGTGACTCGCCTTTTTCGCTCCCATTTTTGTGTTATTGTTTTTTTATCTTCCAAGTATTGCTATGTTGGAATGGTACGAAAGTTTAAAATGTGCTCTAAGCGTTAACATTTTAGCAAGAACAATTCTTTTTAGTCCGCTCATTTAAGTCATTCAATTCATTAAGTCATTATATTCACTGAGTAACTGTGAAGGCTCGTGCATATATTATCCAAATCTATTTTTTAGTGATGGTATATCATTTTGTGATATTCTTTTATATATGATAGAAATATCGGACAACTATGTTGTATAGCACTGGTTTTGTTTACTGTGTTCATATTATTGTTAACCTTCTTATGATTTAAAATAGGTGGATTAATTTATAAACACAAACGATACCTACATTTCTTTCCTAGATCTCGCAAATGAACATACTTTTTAATTCGCGAAATTCACGCAACTATTTTTTTTAAAACTACGTATATCTTTATCACCAAATTATTACAAAAATTTAGGAGGGAGAGAAAGAAATTGTTTATCTACATTTTCAGGATTTATTAGGAGAAAAATTATCTAATGTTTTTTTCTAAACATCTGTGAATTAATTAAAAGGGCCTGTAATTAAATTACTAATTATGACACTAATGACACGTTCCTAGTATTACAATGTTTAAACTTCAATATTGATAGAACATTATTAAAATAACAAACCTGATGTTTAAAAGTTTGGTTTGACAAAGCCGAACTGTTTATTTTGCCCACCTAAAGAAATAAACTTCGCGCTGTAATGAAACTGCAGACGTTTCTCCAGTTCGACGGTCGATTTAACCCGCTTCAGGCGCGGCGCAGGCGATGTGCCGGAGATGTGCAGGCCAGCTGTCGTGTGGTCGCAGCCCACCGCGCAGAGCTATTCTTTAAATGACGTCATCAAACTTTCGGCATTTCCAAAATCTCATTGGTCTGAATTATTAAATGGCGTCAAGAATAGTATGTCAATCTTTTAGCCGAATTAAAACCTTTGTCATCTAAATTATGAACGGTCGTCAAAAAAGAGTATGTTCCATGTCATTACAACTATGACGTCAAACTGTGAAGTTCAGATGTAAAGTTATGTCTTCGAAGCACTGATACTATTTAGGGCTGGTCTTTGAATGACGTTACACACTAAGTTCTAGGGGAGGGGTTTGGCTGAGTGTGACGGCGAGTGACGTTATTATATGAGACGTTAGGAAATATAAAAAAATGGGCTCTAAAGCGTTATGTATAATAGTATAATTTAATACTGAAATACAATTCATTTATTTTTAAAGCAGGCTGCATTATATTAAGTTACTAACGTAAAATTAGTGTTCAGTTTGAAAATGTGTCGGAGAAAAGAAAACTAGTCGATTTAAAGTTTCCCACAAACACAGTAGAGCGCTAGACTACCAACTCGAAAGTCCCGAGTTCGAATCCCGGTTCAAGTCTCTTCATATGCCGACGTCACAGAAACAAGTGAACTCTACTTCACTCGCCCCATAGACCGTCAGGTTTGAAAGGGAAACTTTTTTTTTTCAAGTCCCCGTGTCACATCTTAAAGAAAGCAAAGGTGGCTGGGCATAGCCCCGACCATCCCATTCCCCCTCCCTCATGCTTTTTTCCCCGTTTTTTTCGGGAGCCTATCCCCTTAAGTCACAGAAACAGGTGACCTCTACTTCACTTGCTCCATTGACCGTCAGGCTCGAAAAGAGAACTTTACTTTACTAAAAAAGCAAGGTAAGAAATCATAATTTACATTATCAATCGTCTTCACAGTTTACTTAAATGAGAGCTCACAGTTAAAAACATAATTTTTCGAGCCTCAATATGAATAAACTTATCAGATTGTGATTCATTTTTCGTGTTTGCAGTTTTTTTTATATGTGTTGGTCTATTATTAGTACACAGTTAAAATTTAGGGAGCCATTTATAAATGACCTTACACTCCAGTTAGATAGAGTGGGGATAAAAGGGGGGTGGGGTGGGGGTGGACTGACTTTGTGGCGATGTGTGTCGAAGGGGTTGGGTGAAGGGTGCTCATGAATTGTGACGATACACTGTAGCGTTTCAAATATTAATTTTAGTAACTTATTTTTTTTTAAATTCGCGTTTCATAACTGCTGTGGTAAGTTATAGCTTGATGTGATGTAGTTTAAGGGGTCTGTCTTTTTGTGACGAAATGTGACTAGTGGTGGGAATGGACGAAAAAGACGTTTGAAAAATATGAAGTCGTTTATAAATGGCACCTAGCCCTATTATTGTTTATGTTACATTCTTTACATAAGAATAAAAAAAATAGGTTATAAATGTTGTATAAAAACACAAGAAAAGGGCTTGTATAACCTAAACAGGTGTTATAAAGTGTTTATTCTTTGAAAATCAGCCGACTTGAGCTTAGGAAAGATTATTGTGAAGGTGTAGGAGGGGGGGGGGGTGGGAGAAAGGCCAGGAAGTTTTATTTCTTCGCTACACTGTTAATAAAGAATCCTCTCTGGACCTAGCGATCCATTGGATAGAGTTCATAACTTCCTGAAACTCTGCATTTAGAGGGAATGTGTGGTCAGCACTTTGCCCAGCCGTCTTTGCTTTACCTAAAATGACTTAGGTACCCAACAGAGCTAGGTGGGCTCAGAGACGTTCTACTGACGTGGATCAGGATTCGAACTCGAGATTTTCGGGTTAACAGACTAGCTCTGTACCCCATTACCCTGTTAATACTAAACCGTTATGGTCATTTGAATACATTTACTCGCGATACATACATATATATATATACATATACATATATATACATATAAATATATATATATATATATATATATATATATATATATATATATATATATATATATATATATATATATATATATATATATATATATATACATTGAAATTCCCACGCGAGCGAAATCTTACAGAATATCATATTACTGATAAAAAAATACATGACTTTTGCGTATAAAAACTGTAAGACTTTAAGCCTGTATATTATTATCAACCAGTGGCGTAGCGAGGTCGGGTGTCACCCGGTGCGGCACTTAATGGTGTCACCCCCCAGAGGCGTAGCGACCCTTCCCTGGACACACTTTTTCAATTTTCAGTTTGCACCCCCCCCCCCTTAAACTTGCGATTTGCACCCCCCCCCCCAGAGTTTCTTCCAGGCATCTCTTCGGGGGGGGGGGGGGGGTCGAAGCTCCCCCGAAAAAAATTTACCGCCCCCCCTCCCCCCGAACGAAATGAAATTTATATAATTTATATAGAAAATATATATACTTTTAACAGTGTCCGCCCCCCCCCCGAAGAAAGTTTACCGCCCCCCCCCGAAAATTTCAAGTGCCCCCCCCCGGAGAAAAAAGTCTGGAAGAAACACTGCCCCCCCCCCCCCCCCCTTCTTTCAACTTTCGATTTGCTCCTCTTAAAACACTCGAATTAATCACTTAATTAAGTGAAATTATCAATTTTCTCTATATATTTTTCTATTTTTTTGCCTTTGTGTCACCCCCTTAAATGGTCCGCACCCCGCCCCCTCTCGCCTCTGTTTTTTTAACATCCATTCTATACTTGTCACACGTGTGGATAGCCAACCGCAAATGTTTATAAAAGCATCTATTTTCGCTACAAGTAAACAAACTGTTAAAAAATGTAAACCTTTATAAATTAACTTCATTATGGGACCGATCTTGTTTCCTAGCTCACAAAAAATGTGTCACTACGTAGCAAGAAACACAAATCAATGTTATTAGAATAAATACGCAGAGACTGTTGAAAGATGTCGAACAAAAATAAGAGCCAGCACACGTAGAGTGACCGCCCTTTAAACAGAGTTATCGCGCGCAATTTAGAGCGCTGGATGTTGTCGGCGACACGATCTCCACCCAACACGTGTTTTACTTATCGCCATAGCTAAGCCAACAAACAAGTGCTCACGTTCGTCAATGCTACACCCCCGCCTGGCTTTAGTTTTTAGTTGGTTTTTATGTAGTTTTTTTTCACTAAGATAATATAATAACTCAATTTTTTTTCTTCAAAAAATATGTTTACGTCGCTAGTGACGTTGATTTACAAGTAGAAATTTGCTGATAGCATCACAATTGTGATGTGACACAGCAGTTATTTTTTAATTGTGATATATTTCAAAATGAAAAATCAGATTAAAATTTAATAATTACGCAAATGTAATGTAAATATTAGTTTATGTAAAATGCAGATGAGTACCTATAAATATTTTATGTATTTATATATATATATATATATATATATATATATATATATATATATATATATATATATATATATATATATATATATATATATATACATTAACAACTTGTAGATACATTTAGATCAGTGTTTCTTCCAGAACTTTTTTTTCCGGGGGGAGTGGGGGGGGGGGCAGACATGCCTAGAAGAAAGTTAAGATTCATCATTAGACCTAGCGATCCATTGGGCATAAGAAGTAGAGTTTATGTGTTTCTTGAACATCAGTAATTGTTTATTTTGTTCTAACCTTCACAATTATTTTCTTTAACAACATTACATTTAATTACCGATCCAGAAAAAAATCAAATTATTCATATAAATTAATGTCCGCATTTTTAAAATTTAGCATAAATTGTAAAAAATACATTGGCTTTTATATACACGAGCAGGATAATCCTGTAAAAACCAGGTAAAACGACTTCAAGGTCACCACTAATCCATTTCATGACCTGGCTGAATAATTTTTATAAACCGCAACTTAAACAATAAAAAAAAAATACGACATAAGATATTTAAATAATTAATGAATCTATTGTTATAACCTCCCTTAGTTGAAATTTTAAATTTTTATTCTTAATTAATTGCTTATAATTAACTTGTTCTACAGGTTTGATGTTTTTTTTTAAAATATAATAAGCAAAAAGAAAAACTCAGCAGGGAAAACTGAAATATTTCACACTACTTCATAAAACAACGACCTTGCCGTGAACTACATTTGAAAAAATGTCGGGCCGTGACAGCTATCACGGAGGATAAGCCTGATAAACCCCCGGGCCGGATGTAGGCCAAACATTCGTT